GAAGAATATTTACTTCTTCCAAAGAGAAAATGTGTTTTTCATGGTATTAAGTAGGGTCTAGATTGAGCCTACTTGGATTTAGCTTGTGTATTTTGGCAAATATTTATCAATAATTTATTTGGCAATTATTTATCAGTTGGTGTGAGCTGCTGAGCAGTCAGCATTGAAAATGGATGCAAACTCATTTTCCACCTGATGTGGTAACAGTGAAGAATGTAAAATACTGACTCAGAGCTGTTTGTAGTTTACGTAAAGGAGTCTGGTTGATATTAAAGTGAATATAGATTCTGTTTTGACTAGTAACTAGTAATAGACAATAATCTTCATTTTTCCCCCTAGATGTGAGGTAGAAAATCGATACCAGGGAAACCCTCTCAAAGGAACATGTTATTGTAAGTGTTTTTGCAATTCTTATTTGTCTAGAAGCAAAGTAGTTCAGTAAAACTTCATTATTTCCTCTAAGTTGATTTGAGAATGGTAAGTGCGATAGAAATATAGCAGCCACCCAGGTGTGGTAAGCTGGTACATTATCATCTATTAATCTGTCTTAGATAAAAACCAATACCAAGTTTTAACAATGATGTGGAGAAACAGGAACCTTCTACATTCTTTGTGGAAATCTAAAATGGTATACCCACTTTGGAAAACCATATGGTGGTTTCTTAAACAGGTAAAATAAACTTAACAGACACTCCCCATTTCTCTCTCCTCCCAGCCCCTAGCAACCACCTTTCTTCAGTCTCTCTCTGTCCTAGAGTTTGACTATTCTATGTACCTGATAATGTTGAATCATACAGTGTTTGTTCTTTTATGGCTGGTTTATTCCACTTGGGCATAATGTCCTCAGGCTTCATCCATCTTGTAGCATATGTCAGACTTTCCTACCTTTTCAAGGCTTAATAGTATTTCACCGTGTGTACTGCCACATTTTGTTTATCATTCATCTGACTATGGACACGTTTGTTGCTTCCACCTTTTGGCTTTTGGAAATAATAGCTACAGTCTATTTGACTGCTGTGAACATGGGTATCTGAGTACTTCTTCAGGTTCCTGCTTTGAGTTCTTTTGGATATATACTCAAAAGTAGAATTGCTGGATCATATTACAGCACAAGCCAATTACTAGATCCCATTTTTATTTTTTTGAGGAACCACCATACCACTTTCCACAGTGTCTGTACTACTGTTTTACATTCCTGCCAGTAGTGCACAGAGGTTTCAGTTTCTCCACAACCCCGCCAGCACTCATTATTTTCTGGTTTTTTAATAGGCATCCTGATGTGTGTGCAGTGAAGCCTGGTTATGGTTTTGATGCACGTTTCCTTAATGACTAGTGATGCTGAGCATCATTTCATGTGCTTATTGTTCATTTGTTTATCTTTTTAATCGAAATAGCTATTCAGATCCTTTGTTCATTTTAAATCAGGTTGTTTGTTTTTGCTTTTTTATTACTGTTGTGTTGTAGAATAGACTTTTTAGAATTAAATTATATCATCTTTGACCAGTTGGCTCTCTTCCAGGCTGTGTTCTTTTGCTGTATCACATTTGTCATTGAAAACTTCCTTACTTTCTAAAATAAGATAACCAAGATATTAATTCCTTGCCCTAGAAATGGAACCAATCTGGAGTCGTGTACCATTAATTTATAGCTCTGTATGCTGAAGTAAACCCTAGCAGGTAGTAATGTTCATATAATATTTGTTAGTTGAGTTAGGTTGGAGCCTAAAGCCTCAGTTGTGGTCATGATATAAGAAGGTTGGTGAGTTAACCCAAATTAAATGATAGTGCCCACAGAATTGATATTCTGGGAAAAATTTTCCAATCTCCAGGTATTGATGAGCCCAAAGTACTTCTCTGGTTATTTGAATTTAAGCAAATAAGTCTGTATCTCCCCAGGCCTGTTCTGTTTGTTTTGTTTCAATTCTTAAATACATATTTATTTCTTTCCATAGACACTCTGCTTATTGACTATCAGTTCACCTTTAGCCTCTCCCAGGAAGATGACCGCTACTACACAGCCATCAATTTTGTGGCTACACCTGATGAAGTAAGATTTTTAAAGTCTTAATTTTGTTTTGATTTCATGTGGATCTTTGTCTTGGCCATTATCTATGGAAGCACTGCCTCAGAAGTGGTCTCTAAAGAGTGATGTTTAGAGATGCAAGGAAGAGATGTTAGAACCTAAATTTGGAAACTGCTGCCCAGAGGGTTCTTGGAAGGCCTAACTCCCTAATGTTAGATCATAGAATGGAAGGTGTGGTGTTCTGGGGAGGATCTTTCTAAGAGCTATTTTTTCATGAAGTTCGGTGTTTGACAAAGCATTAAATCCCATATACTTTTATGGGTGGGCAATAAAATTTATTTGGGGTATAGACCTTACATTAAGAAAAATTGGGGCCTCCCCGGTGGCGCAGCGGTTGAGCGCTGGGTTGCGAAGCTGCCCACGGCCTCTGCGGCGCCGGTTCGATCCCCGGCTGCTCCCCGGCCCCGAGGAGGATCCCACATGGTGCGCGGACCTCTCCTGCCGCCCGCTGCTCCCCTCAGCGGTGTGCTTCGGTCCTTCTGCCTGTTCTGCTCCCCGCTCTGGCTCTGGTGAATTCTCTCACCCTCCCGCGCTTCTGACTGTACCCAGTGCATGTATAAACAAAACAAACAAACAAATATAATAAATAAATAAATAAAAACATGCCTCTATAAAAAAAAAAAAAAAAAGAAAGAAAAATTGGTTAGAAATTTGGCTGACTCTTCTATAAGTGTGTTTTGCTTAAGAGATTGTGAAGTATCTGTTTTGTAAGTTAAATTGAGAGTAGTAAAATGTAATCACTGCTTTATTTTAAAACCTGGAGACTGTTATAATTAATTTTCTACTTATTTGCACTTCTCATTAGCAAAACAGGGATTTGGACATGTTCATCAATGCCTCCAAAAACTTCAACCTCAACATCACCTGGGCCGCCAGCTTCTCAGGTAAAAACACAGCTAAAGAAGACCCCCTGACTGGAGGAAATAGGTTGAGAAATGTGATACAGGAGTTGAGAAAGGGAGCTTGGAAGACAGATGGGTTTAACATCCACTTTGCTACTTACTAGACCTTAGCAAATGTTCAAAACCTTCCTCTAGACCTTTGGGTTATTCATCTTAAATAGAAGATAACAGCTATGGTGTGGAATAAATTGGATTATGCCTGCCAGTGTCTACTGTGCCATCAGCCGCAGTGTGTGCTCGCTGCCCCTGCTCTGCTGCCACCTCTGCTTCTGGTGCCCCAGCACCACCCTGGAACCACCTGCAGCATCCTCATCTAGCTGCAGAAGGGAAAGATTCAAATGACTCTGTTTCAGGAAACAGAAACATGAGAATTTAGGCACAAGGAAATAAATGTACTCTGGGAATTAAATCAAGCTCTAAGAGCACAGGTTTTTGCTATTTTGTTTATCTTACTATGATTCTTTAAGGAAGACCCAATGGGCAGAAAATCTCCTAAAGAAATAAAGTGTGGAGAATGTAGGTCAGCAGACCTGGATTTGAATTCTGCCTGTTACTTAGTAGTGCTGTGCTTTCTGAGTCAGTTTCCTTGAAACTGGGATAATAAAGACAACTTAGTTATATAGAATGTTGTGAGAATTCAATAATAAAAGAGGTACTCAATATAGTGCTGGAAATTCATTAAATGGTAACTGTTTTTTCATCATGATTATTATTAAGATACTGGTTATTTGGTCAAAACACAACCTGTGAGACTGAAGCAAAATAAAAACATTGACTTTGCATATCACTTTGTATTTATCATATCTTAAAATATTGTATAGAATTCAGAAAAGGTTCAGAAACTTGCAGTGACAAAGATAAATAAGACAGCAATTTAAGAAAAAGTATGGAGCCTCCCTGGTGGCTCAGGGGTTGAAGTCTCAGCGTTATCAAGCAGTTGCCAGCCACTGAAATGCAAGTTCGATCCCTAGCCAGGGAGCTGACTCACATGGCGCAGCAGACCTCTCCTGTCTCACTCGCTGCTCCCCTCAGTAGTGTATTTCAGTAGATCTGCCTGTTTTGCTCCCCACTCTGTCTCTGGTGAGTCTTCTCACCGCCTCTCTCCACCCCTACCCCCTGCACCTCTGGCCTACACCCCAGTTCTTGTATACCTAACTAAATTTAAAAAGAAAGAAAGAAAAAGTCCGAATTATCAGAGCCTTTGTCTGCAGAATATGAATGATTTGCAATGACTCTCTCCTTGAGGACTCAGCTATGCAGAGCAATTGAAGAGTTGTGGGCAGAGTGAATGCCATTACTTGTTAATAGGATTTTAGTGTTTTCTGGGCTTTTATGGCCATATGTATACTGTTTTCCATAGGGGCGGAGGCTGCAGGACTCCCTAGTAAAACTATTCTAAGAGCACAAGCTTGTGGGTCAGCCTGCCCAGCTTCAGATCCTAATTCCACTTCTTGGCGGCTGTGTAACCTGAGTCATGTGACTTAATTTGTCCAAACCTCAGCTTCCTGATCTGTAAATGAGGATGATAATAAAGTGGTTGTTAGTATTAGATGAGACTGAGCGTTAAAGACTGTTGCTGGGACATTGAAATTTTGAGTAAATACTGTTAGCCTTATTATTAATGAGGGTAGATTCTGTCTTAAAAAAGTTTTCAAGTTCATCTTTTTCTTCCTAATAGCTGGAACCCAGGCTGGAGAAGAAATGCCTGTTGTTTCAAAAACCAACATTAAGGAGTACAAAGACAGCTTCTCTAATGAAAAATTTGATTTTCGCAACCATCCAAATATCACTTTCTTTGTTTATGTCAGTAATTTCACCTGGCCCATCAAAATTCAGGTAAGAAGTGCCTGTTGGTCTCCTACCTACAAAAATGGTGAAATCTCTCGTGAAGACTGCATTCACTAATTTGGAACTTGTGGTGAATGAGATTTATAATTTTCTTGCCTTTGTGATATCTGTGGCAGAGGCGTCCTTACTGAGCACAGGAACACCATAAAGAAGCTTGTGGTGGGGATGGCTTGATTCCCCTAGAAACGAAATTTATAAGCACTCTTGAAAGCAAATTGGCATATAACAAATTTAATAATTACAACTGTGTGCATTTCTTTATTAAGCACTTGCCACATAACAGTCTGTAGATCTACACAGTTTGAATTCTGAAATGGGGAGAGTGGATATAAATGAAACAAATGCAGATAGAAACAGTGAAAGCTAGTGTGGAGAGTGTGGTATGAAAAGATCCCAGGAATGCAAGTAGCCTTTAGAGGAGGAGAGGAGGGACAATGAGGGAGGCAGTTTACCATCCCCCTAAGGTGCCCAAGTCCTGCACTAGACTGGATTTTAGTCCTGACTAGCTCACTCTTAGGCAGACCACACCCTCTCCAAGTCTCGGGTGTTTTGTGACCCACAAGAGTAGATCTAAGTATCCGTGTCGCCTGCAGCAGCGACTACCATCATCAGCCTGCTCCTTTTCTCTGTTTCCAGGGGGTCAGTCCCTTGGGAACCCTCTGTGACTCTCTTGTCTGAGACCATGGCATGACCCCTTATGATCATCCACCACTGTGTCCTCAAGGGCCTTGCTTTAATACAGCATAATTTTTTTACCCCTTCATTTTGGGTAAATGTGGAATTAGGAACGGGTGGTCTTTCAGGAACTGGTTCGCCCCAACTATGGAAGCATAGTCAGGACTGGGCTGTGGCCGTTTGCCAGTTTTCGAAGCATGATTAGTGAAGGAAGTTGTCGCTGATCACTTAGAAAGGTTTGAAATCTAGGTCTAGTGATGTTATGTTCATGTCTTGGGGCTGTGACTAAAGAACAGTCAATCTGGTCCTTTCTGGAATGTGGAGGACAGATTTTTTTCCTCATCACTCTCTTTCCTTTTCCTGTCTAGATAGTCTGCAGATTTGTTCATCCTTTAACCTGCTATTCCCTTTGCTCATAGACTCTCTGCTTCGCTCCTTACCTAGTCTTCTTACAACACTGGCCACACGCCCTATTTCTGTTTCTCTTTTCTATTACCCTGTCAACCCACAAGAGTCTACTTTATTTCCACACACATCCTGAAACTGCCTTGCCATGGTCAGCCCAGTGACCAAATTGTTCTTCTGTCCCCTTTGCCTCATTGTCTGTGTTGAGTCACTGACTTCCTTCTCCTTTTGTCCCCTATTCCTCTGGACAGTCTTTTTAAGAAGTCTTCTTCCTTAAATATGTCTGCAATTCAGGCCTTGGTTCTCGTCTCTTCAGCCCACACAGTTTTCTGGGGTAATTCCATCCCACTTGGACTCATGGTCCTGTTTGTATGCTGGTGGTTCTTAGTGCTCTGCCTCCCAGCTTCCATTTGAGCAGAATAGTGCTCTCAGCTGCTGCCTGGACCTCTCTACCTGGGAATTCAGCTCCCTGCACTCAGCACAGTCATTCTTGTGATCTTTGCCCGGACTGTGCTTCCTTTCTCAGTGAATGGGACCACCGTTTGTCCAGTCGCACGAGCCAGGAGCCGGAACATCATTTGTATTCCTTGGGGTAAATGCTGCTTGAGCACAATTTATCATTTTCTTACTTTATGCATTGCTGGATTCAGTTTACTAATATTTGACTAGAATTTTGTATCTATTTTATGAGTAAGTAACACTTCCCTTTTCTGTCCTGGTGATGGTTTTGATATTAAAGGTGAAGCTAACCTTGAATTTTTGCTCTCATTTCTGGAAGAGATTATATAGTAGAATTACTTAACCTTTAATTTTTGGTAGGTCTCTTCTGTAAAAACTTTTGATTCTGGCGTTTTATTTGTTGGGATTTTTTTTATCTGCTAACCCTACTCTTTAATAGTTGCAGGATATTTTGGATTTTCTCTTTTTATTTGATCCACAAGATAATTTTTTCCTAGGTGTTTCATATTTTTTCCATTTTTTCCAGGTATATTTCCTATGTTTTTAAATTTTAAAGTTGTTCACATTGTCTTCTCATGTAACCTCTGCAGCATCTGTGTTTAGCGTATTTAATTTTGCACTGAAAAGTGGTTAAGACTACAAATTTTACCTCATATATGTATTTTACCCCAATTTTAAAAAGTTTAAAAAAATCACAGCAGGGTTTTGTAAATATATGAAAAGGCAAAGATTCCAGAATAACTAACAGTTTTGAAAGGCAGAAATAAAGTGGGATGAATTATTATATGCAATGTGAAGGCTTACTGTTTAACTACTATGGTTATTGGAGGAGTGATAGACACATAGATCAATGGGACAGGATGAAAATCCCAGAAAGAGAACCACATAAGTACATACACCTGATTTTTGACAAAGGCACAAAGTCAACTCAGTGGAGAAAAATTTTCAGCAAGTGGTGCTAGAATACTTCAATAACCATAAACTAGTAAATGAGCTTCAACCTAAACTTTACATCTTATACAAAAAAAAAAACTCAATATGGATCACAGTTTAAGATGTAAAATATGAAACTGTAAAGCTTTTAGGAAAAGAAAAGTAGGAGAAAATCTGCATTCTAGAGCAAGGCAGATTTTTAGACTTGACAACACAAACATAATTCATAAAAAGACAAATGATTTAATTGGACCATATCAAAACCAAATTCTTCTGTTCTGTGAAAGACACTGGTAAGAAGATGAAAAGACAAGCTGTGTACTGGTCAACTATGTTTCTGACAAAGTCGTGGCATCTAGACTATAAGGAGAGCTGTCAAAACTCAACATTAAAAAACAAGCAGGCAAATTAGCAAAGGGACAAAAACATGAAGGGACATTTTACTACAGAGGATATATGTGTGGTAAACAACCACATGAAAAGGTGTTCAGCATCAAAGGACATGAAAGAAATGCAAATTAAAACCACAGTGAGGTATCTCTGTATACTATCTGAATGGCTAAAATAAAAAATAGTGTTAACACCAAATTCTAGAGAGGAAGCAAAGTTGCATCCCTTACACACTTCTACTCCCTTTATTAAAAGGCTCTTGGGATAGGTCATGCATGCCCACACTCAAGGAGAAGGAACACACACCAAGGTCATGGGCAATATCAGGAGACACACCAGAATTTTCTCTGCTATAGACTGCATTTGGTGTGGGGCTAGCAGGGATTTGGGTGGTTTCTCTGACACCAGGGAGGTTGAGCCCTAGGCCCTGGTCAGTATAATTCCAGTTTGGTAGCATTTCACTCTATCAAGTTGTAGATCACATGCATTTATAAAATATTTGATGCGGGTTCTAGTTAATATACCTGTTGACTTGTTTTCAGTTGTGATTGTTTTATACTGGCTTACCTTGCTATGTCCGAATCTGATTGAATTTCAAGCTTTGTTACTTAAAGCTGAAAAATGATTACTATTCTTAAGGTTTTTAGTGAAAATCTTGACTTGTGCTGCTGACTTCTTTCCATTTGGAAAGAGGGCTCTGTGCACATAAACAGCCTTTTGTGCTGGAGATAGCCGCGCTTTGCCAATGCCGAGGTCTAGTTTTTTTCCCTCCCAATACCCTGTTGCTCCACCCTCTGAAAGTCACTGACATGGTTTTAGAGCATTTCCTTCTAGAAGATCTCTTCCTCACGCTTATTTTTAAAAAGTACTGATTATAAATTTAAGAATCAAAGAGATATTGATCTTCTGCCTGGTTTTTTGGTGCTCTTTGCCTGGGCCGGGTCACTCACTCGAGTAAGACCCATTTATGAAAGCTGCATTCAGGAGCACTTGTGAAAATAAATGATGGCATGCTCATCATCTAGTTTGCCAAGCTTTCTTGAAAAAGCAGGTAAGTTCTATTGAAATGTGTCTTTTTGCTGTTTGGTGTAAATAACCTCGGTGTTCAGCACATGTGGCCTCGGCATCCTGCATCTCGGTGTCTCCACAGGGGCCTGCCTGGTGGACAGCAGTTCTCTCTGCATTCGGAAATAAGTCTGGCTGTGCCTGGGAGCAAGGCTGAGCTCGCATCTTCCTGGGCAGATGTGGTCGTGTTCTCAGCAAAGAGAGCTGCACATTTCTTTACTGCTTGATTTTCCTCAGAGCCTTAGCTTTTCTAGATGTAGCCCACTTAGAGACGGTACAAATTCAGGAAAAAAGCAGAGAATGTTGGGAGAGAAGAGGGGAGAATCTAAATGATGCCGTGTAGGCCATTCAGTTACATTTTAATTGGCTTTCAGAGTAGGCGAAAGCCTTTTTTGTCTTTGATTCTCATATTTTAAAGCAAAATAGCTGGGGAAATCTAATTCTCTACTGAGAAATTCGTGTAAACACTGGTGCTTTAAAAACTGTAATGCTAAACTCAAGTTCCTCTACTCTGAACCCACCCCAGGATTCTTTTCCATAATTAGGAACAGATCAAAACTTATAACTGCTAACTGAGGGAATTTGAAACTAACTATAAAAATCTTTGTAGATGCAGTTTAAAATTAAAAAACACCACTCCGACTGAAAAGGCCTGTGTGTGGGAGGATGGTGGGTGTGTTGGGGCCAGATGTGCCTGTTTTCTGTTTGGTTGCTCCTGTGGGTGCGCACCCCTCCCTTATACCCCCACTTCCAGAAAGCCATCCTAGGTGTTCTCTCCAGTAAGTAGGGGCTCAGCTGGGTTCAGCCAGACCCGCTGTTTGGGAGGGAAGGTGTCTAAGATAGAGCGCAGACAGCGGGCCTTGTGTGGTGGGAAGGTGGACCACAGAGTTGGGTTCTGGCTTGCTACTGGCTCTGCAACAGAGGTTGTTATTGTAAAGTGGAACTAATATTAAAGCCTCTCCATGCTGGGTGTTTCATCTGTTGGTTTGTATAAGAGGCTAGTGTTCGCAAGTGAAGGCAAATACACAGAATTTGTATTGAGAACTGGGCATTCATTTAGATTCAGAGCTGTGTTTATGGGCACCAGCAGATTGCTCTACTGAGCAAAGGGTGTGTGACACACGTGTTGACTCGGATGTCTTTTTTTAGTAACAACTTTATTGAGATGTAATTCACATGTCATACAATTCACCCATTTAAAGTGCATAATTCAGTGGGTTTTTTTTAGTACGTTCGGAGTTGTGCAACCATGACCACAATCAGTTTTAGAATATTTTATCACCCCCAAAAGAAATCCAGTACCCATGAACATTCCCTTCCCATTCCTCCCTGCCCCCAGCCCTCGACAGGCCCTCGTCTCCTTTCTGTGTCTAGGGATCTGCCTATTCTGTGCACTTCATGTAAATTACTCACATAGCATGTGCCTTTGGACTGGCTCCTTCCATTTAACATAATGTTTTCAAGGTTCATCTGTATTTAGTTTATTTCAGCACTTCATTTCTTTTTAAGACTGAATAATATTCCTTTGCATGGACATACCATATTTTGTTTATCCATTCATCTGTTGATGGGTACTGGGGTTGTTTTCACTCTGGCTATTATGAATGATGTCAGAAGCTTTGTATTTATTATATAACAGTAAAATATATGTGTGTGTGTATATATGTACATATATATTGGTATTAGATATCTCTACCTTAAGGCTTTTAGGAATTATAATGTCCTGAAATACATTTAAGAACAAAACTGTATAAAGTACAAGTCTTTGTTTCAAATAGCACTGAAGGCTCTTGCACTACCTCATGGTTTCCTTCATGATCATTATTTATTATTCCTTCTTCTTGAAAGTCTCCTGTCTTCTGCTTCTCATCTATGGCTTTGCCTGTTTCTTCTCAACTCTTACTACCCTTGTTCCCTTGGGTTTCCTCTGACCCTGTTTACCCTGGACAGTCTTTATCCACATCACCCTCCACCTCTGGCAGACCTCCCTCATGGAACCACCACAGCCAGGACCCACTGACTTCCTTGACCATCCACTCACTCAGCATACCTGCTTGCCCAAGAGGTGGTAATAATGCACAGATAATGAATGCCTCTTTATGCCAGTGGTCTCTTAAATTTGATGAACATTTTATATTCTTACTTGTTTTAGGGAGGATATTATCTTGAAGTGAATACACACTGAACACATAAATGTTAAATGAATGAGGGGTACAAAATGAGGCTACCCCCCTCTAGGTAGACTCAAGAATTGGAATTTTAAGCAAATAAGGACGATGTTTTGTTCAGATGAAAGCACCGGGACGTAGCAAACTGAGTTTCTCATCATCAGAGTTTTCAAGTCTTCTAGGTCAAACAGAAAGAACTTAAATCTGATGTCAGGAGCAGAGGGAAGCCGGAGGAAGGTTGTGCTGAAGCCTGGAAATACTGCTCTTGGTTGGGTGGATGGCGCAAGTTTATCTTTCAACTTAGACCTTGAACCCAGGAGGCTGTTTGTAACCTACCTACTCACATGACTTGTTTTTCTGCCACAGATTGCCTTCAGCCAGCACAGCAATTTTATGGACCTGGTGCAGTTCTTCGTGACTTTCTTCAGGTAATTTTTACTTCTATAAATGATATCTGTTCTTTTGATTCAGGCACTTAACCCCATTAATTGAATATCAGCTCACGAAAGATAATAATCCTGTGTTTGCACAGCAGTTCAAACTAACTTCCTGTGTTCCTGAAAAGTCATGTCTGTTGCAGTTGTGTGCATTCCGTCTAATCTGTTAAAATGGAGATACTCGCTTTGTCCTGGCTTTGGGAGTCTGCTTTCCACATACCCTGTACTACAATGTAGATAATTTGATTCTTCATCTTGGGAGAATTTGTGGTCAAGACATATTTAATTAATGATTAATTACTGGTGATTACTGGTATGTGCTGCATGATATGCTTCCTCTTGCTGCTACAGGTAGTCAGGTGACTCTCCAGAGTTTTAAAACTAAAGGTGATTTGTTAGGCCCCTGGGAATCTTTTTTTTTATAGGGTTTGTTCTGTTTAATTTTATTCTTATAGAAATACCATGTGTACATAATTCAAAATAATGAGTGCTAAGCTACTTATATGAGAAAGCAACAGCATCATGTCCCACACTTTCCCAGTTGCCCTCCTCCCCAATTTGTTTTTGCTCTTCTGACACTTCACCAAAAAACTCCCTCCACATCACAAGTTCATACAAAATCCTCTTCTCCCACCGGTTTACTATATTCCATCCCAATGCCTTAACCTTAGATGCATAGTAGAATTACTTGTGGAGTTTTTGATGCCAAGCCACACCCCAAACCAATCACATTAGAAACTCTGGGGATGGAATTAAGCATTCAAAAGCTCTCCAGGTAATTTCAGTATGCCACTAATGCATACTGAATTTAATTTTATGAAGTTAATGCTTTATAGAAGTCTCTGTTGGAAAAGGAAAAAGCACTCAATAAATCAAAAAAAGAACTACTAATTAAAGAAAGTGGAAGGTAGGAATATAGACAGCAAAAATTAATGAAATGGGGGAAAATACAGTAGCAAGAACTGAAGGAACTGTAAATTGGATCCTTGGAAAAGAGTAAGTATAACATTGATAATCTCTAGAAAGCATAACCAAGGAAAAGAGAGAGAACATATAAATAATGTCAGAAATAATAAAGGGCCATTACTCCAAATCCTGCAGGCATTCAGACATTTTTTTTCCTCCAGAAGAGTATTTTATGAGTAATTTTAAAGCATATAAATTGAAAATGGAATAAATAGTATGCATTAATAGTATACACTGCTGAGGGGAGTAGCAGGCCGCAGGAGAGGTCTGCGCGCCATGTGGGACCCTCCCCCAGGGGGCCGAGGATCGAACTGGTGCTGCAGAGGCTTCGCAACCCAGCACTCAACTGCTGCGCCACTGGGGGAGGCCTGCATTAGTTTTTAAAAACCTAAAAACTATATTCAATTTACCCAAACTGACACAGAAGAAATAGGAAACCTGAATAATCCTATATCTGTTCTAAAATACATCAAGTTTTCTAACCAGGTAAACTCTAGGTGCAAATGGCTTCATTGGTAACTCATAATCTTCTAAGGAAGAAATACTCTCAATGTTGGCTAAATTTCCTAGAGAGCAAAAAAAAGAAGAAATACTTCCCAATTTATTTTATGAAGTTATTAGCACAACCTGACAATATTATGCAAAAGGAATTTAGAAACCAGTCTCATTCATTAATGAGGAATCAAAAATCCACCACTAATATAAACAGGCTACCAGTTGGGTGTATTCCAGGAATTGCAGTGTTGGTTTAGCATCAGAGAAATCAATCAGTGTAATTCACAATTATTACATAAAGGGGGAGAATAATATAATCATCTTAATCAATGGGGGAATAATTTAATATTAATTATTAAAAACTCTGAAGACACTAGGAATAGAAAGAAATGTCTTTGAATCTGATAAAGGAACAATACATAAGCCAGTAGCAAGCCACCATTCATTAATGGTGAAATGCTTTCCCTTTGAGTTTGGAAACAAGACAAATAAACCACTATCACTCAAACATTGTGATAGAGGTTCTAGCTAAACAGATAAATGAATAAAATGCATAAGTATTGGAAGAAAAAAAATCATTACTCACAGCATGATTGTATCAATAGAAATGCAAAAAAATCTACAGCTAAAGTATTAGAATTAGTAGGTGAAGTTTATCAAAGTTTTTCAATACATGCACAGTATTAAAAATCAGTTCCGTGGAGTTGAGAGGCATGCTCCTCTTGCAGCTCTTTGTCATTAAGTCAGAGGCTGGCATGAAAATTATGATTTTACGCCGACCTGGCAGGGGAGATGCCATGATCACGAAAATCATAGTTTTATTTCCCATAGAAAGCCCTTAGGTGCCCTCCTCCCCCCTGTACCCTAAAAGAAGAATGATGCTGGAGAGCAGATGGCCATGTGTCAAGATTCATCCATTTCCTGTTGGGCCCACTTCTGCCCACTGTGAGCTGATGAAGCTGACAGAGAATTGTCAAATTACTAGCTTGCCCTTTTCCATAGATCATTCACTTGTAATACATATATTTTTTACTTTGGTTGCTCATGCATTTTGTTCCCCAGAGTGTGAGAGACCCAGCATCTTGCGTAGCCTTTACTTAGTTTCTGGATGGTTACGTCTCCACCTAGAAGCAACTGGCTTCGTCCCTCCAATCTTGGAGGAAGATAAAAGAATCTAATAAAGACATTTGGTATTTCAGGGCGGGGTAGGGGGAATCATTTATATTTTTATATTATACCAATACAAAATGAAATATGTTTTTGTTATTTTGATAAATGTTCAACATTGTAGGTCTCTCTGGTGGCCTAGTGCTGTCACCACTATGGCATGAGTGCGGTCCCAGCCAGAGAGCTACCCACATGGCACAACAGACCTCTCCTGTCTCGCCCGCTGCTCCCCTCAGCAGTGTATTTCAGTGGATCTGCCTGTTCTGCTCCCCGCTCTGTCTCTGGTGAATCCTCTCACCAACCACCGTCCCCCCGGCACCTCTGGCCTATACCCCAGTTCTTCTACATAATTAAATAAATAAAAATCTTAGAGTAAAGGAATAATTCTTTAAAAAATAAATAAACAAATGTTCAACATTGCATTGTATCTAGATCTAGAAAAAATGACCAGAAATCAAAAAGGGGGGCAGAGGGGCGAAAACAATAGACTGTCCACTAGCCCTTGAGTGCAGGGAGCACTTTCTGTGGGCAGTGGCACAAAGTCACATTGGCCAGGGCACATGATCATGGAGACAGATAAAGTTTGAAAGGTTCAAATTTGTATCAACTTAAAAGACTTTAAGTGATGAAAAATTAAATGAAAATAAGGCATAAATAGTAACAAACAAGAATCTAAAAGATCTATATAGCACTAGCTCTACTAGTAGCTCATTGTAAGTGCTTGCAATGTAGCTGGTGCAATGGAGAAACTGAATTTTTCATTGTATTTGATCTGATACTTGATCAGTTATCAAAATGTTTAAGTATGTGACATATAGTTAGACATGTGAATTTTGTGAATTCTAAATATAGGTAGAATAATATTTCCTGTTAAATGTAGGGGTCAACCAAGATGTGCTTATAAATATAAAATACACAGTGGATTTTAAAGACTTAGCAGAAAATAAAAATGTAAAATATCTTAATAATTTTATGTTTTGGTCACCTTTTCAAATGTTTTGGCTCTCTTGGGTTAAATAAAAATATATTATTAAAATTAACTGCACTTTTTACGTTTCTTTTTACGTTTTTAGTGTGGCTACTACAGCATTTAAATTATATGTGGTTTCATTAAATTTCTGTTGGACAGTGATGATATGCTAATGCAAAGGGAAGAACTTAAAGGGACAGCATAAAAAGATAGGATGAAATAATAACGAACATTTTAAAGCAAAAATATTAAATATTCATTTAGAGCTTTTAAAGTAGCAAGTCAGCATACAGAAATTCTTAGTAGTTACCAAAAGTAATTTATATTCATAGTGAAAGTTCAAACAGTGTAAAAATACAATAAAATAAAAATTTACCCTAATCTTAATTGCTCTTTCGTAATTACCACTGTTAATATTTTGGTGCTCATGTTTCTAAAATATTCTCTCTCTCTCTCTCTCCTCTCTACTATATATATATATATATATGTATATATATATATATATACACACACACACCACACATACACAAACACACACACATATATACCCACATACATATATGTATTTCTCATATATATTTTGAAATTTTTTGCTTTATAAAATGGACTACCTCCTTACATGTTGTTCCATAATTTGCTTTCTATTCTGTATTCTATGGTTAACAATTGGAGAGTCACTTCATTTTTTTTTTAAATATATATATATATATATATTTTAAGATTTATTTATTTATTTATACAAGCACTGGGTACAGTCAGAAGCACAGGAGGGTGAGAGAATTCACCAGAGCCAGAGCGGGGAGCAGAGCAGGCAGAAGGACCAAAGTACACTGCTGAGGGAGCAGCGGGTGACAGGAGAGGTCAGCGCACCATGTGGGACCCTCCTCTGGTGGCCGGGGAGCAGGCAGGGGAACGAACCGGTGCTGCAGAGGCTGCGGGCAGCTTCGCAGCCCAGCGCTCAACCGCTGAGCCACCGGGGAGGCCTGAGTCACTTCATTTTTTAAAGCAATTTTCTCCCTCCAGTATATCAATATGTTTACCAACCCAGAAGCTCCCCCAAACCTCCATTTTATCTCCTTTTTTTAAAGTTTTATTCCTAGGCATGACTGATAAAATCACTAGCCATTGGTGACTGAACTCAGTCTCTAGCCCCTCACATTTTGGGGGTTGGGAGTGGGTAAAAGTCTGAGTCTCTAATCATGCGACTATCTATCAACCAGCCTCCATCCTGAAGGTCCGTTCTTCCCAGGAGCCACTTTAGCATATAAAAGATACTCCTAATTTATATCTCACACCTGTTATAAAAAAGTAGTTTATTCAGACTCAGAGATTTGTCATTTTTATTATGCCCTCTGTGTTATATAAATAACGTGATACAAAAACTAATAAAGCT